GCACTCCAGTCTGGGCAATAGAGTGAGACTCCAACTCAAAAAATAAATAAATAAATAAAAGATACCCAAGCCTTATCCTAGACCTGCCGAGCCAGAATGTGAGAGGTGAGGCAAAGGACCAACCAGTATTTTTTTTTTTTTAGCTGGGAGTCTCCCTCTTGTAGTCCAACCTGGAGTACAGTGGCATGCTCCTGGCCACCACAGCCTCCACCTGACAGAATTTGGCAGCCTTTCCACCTCAGCCTTCCAAGTAGCTGGAACTATGGATGCACGCCACCACGCCTGGCTAATTTTTGACTTACTGTAGAGATGAGGTCTTGCCAAGTTGCCTGGGCTATTCTCAAACTCGGGGGCTCAGGCAGTCCTCTTGCCTTGGTCTTCCAAAGTGCTGGGATTATAGGCCGAGCCACTGCAGCCAGCCCAACCAGTATTTTTAGTAAAGAATCTAGATGTGGGAGTTATTTTACCTTAAACTGTAATGAAACAAAAGCATGACACTTCTCCCTGAGCAGGCAAACTGTCATCAGGTTGGACATTAACCTCTCAGACCCAGACTAGGAAACTAAAAAGAGTGTAGGCAAATGGTCTAAACTTCTGAGAAAAACATCAAGGTTTACAGAGCACAGAGGAATGAGACTTAGTCCAGGCTAAGCTGGTAATGTGTTTAAAAATAACAAGGTCAGCAGGGCGGTAAAGTTCCTTTTCCAGTTAGTTGAGGTCTTGGCAGCCATGTTTCAACCATTTTGTTCCAGGAAAACTCTAAGCAGTTTCTCTTAACCTAGGCAGTCGGTCCCTTTGCTATGTTTAATTTTCTTCTTTTTCAAGTCCTTTTGCCAAGACACCCAGTGAACTAGTCCTTTCACTGTCAAGGTCCAAAGGATTACACCCACATTCTCAGCATCTTTGGACTAGACAAGCTAAATGACAAGAAGATGTATCTTCAGTCAGCTTTTGGATTTGCAAACACGTCTACTGGCTTATGGTCAGCTGGACATGATTCTTAACTTCTGTAATATATACCCACTGCTACCCCTTTCTCCCACTGAAGAAAAAAGGAACTTACTAGATGATGGTTGGGTCTACAGTAATTTTATTGTAACAGAGAAACCAGGCTGCAATAAGTCTACATGACTGGAGCAGATGGTGGTTATCTGTACAAAGGGTGAAGCCCAAGTCCAGCTGGCAGCACGAAAAGCTCAGAATGCTGCCTTTCCTGGTACTACCCTGTATCACTTCATTCATGATGTGAGATGAGTGACTGTACCACACTGAACAAAGGGAGGAGGTCCAACTGGACCAGGGCAACATCCCGATGGAGACCACCACACAATCACTGAAGTGGATGCTGAGATCAAGTGTAGTTACCTACAGCTCCACTGCTCTTTGATGAGAAAGACGAGGATGTGGCATGAGCAGAAAATCATGTTCTTCATTCTTAAATAAATCCTGAGAGGATGGGGTTGATGGTCAGTCAGGCAGTAGCATGGGATGAAAATCTAGGTTAGTTAGAAAACTTTGTGCGTAAGGAAAAGAACAGCAATGATAAAGAGAAGAGAGCCTTCTCTTTTTCTTAAATAAGACAGGAGACAGCTTCTTTAATTTTCCTTGCTGTGGTAGCAGCAGACTCCTTGGTATTCATAAAACACAATTTCTGCAATATGGTCTGCTGAAAAGGTTGCCCCATCATGGAGAACAACATGAGGCCGACTGTCAGTGATAGAACAAGGTCTTCTCTGCAAGCCTCTGATAAGTGCTACTTTTCATAAGGAGCCACTGACACCATAAGTTGCTTCAGTTAAAGCTTCTAAAATATTGCAATGGCATAATTTACAGGGTTTTTGGTACTATGACTTTCTTGCATGTGTAAACTCTTTCAGAAAAGTTGGAGATAAAAGGACAGGGAAGTTTGGTTTACAGCCACAAAGTCCCAGATGCCAGCCATGGATGCCTCTGCCCTATGTCACTACATGTTCTTTTCTGAGAAACACATTCGATTGCTGAGTGTTATGTACTGTGGTTGACAGAAATGATCCACGCACTGCCATTCACCCTCCCTCATCCTCCGTGTGAAGCTCACAACAGCAGTGGCGGAAGACACAGAGGTTGTGTCTGCTCCCTTGCACCAGGGACATTACTTGGTGACCTGGTGAATGGCATGGGCAAGGTAGCCCACATTGCCTGAAGTGACCCCTGCCACAGAGATACGGCCATCCTTTGTCATGTAGATGGAGAACTCCTTGGTCAGTCGTTCCACCTGCAGAGAGGAAAGAGCTTGGGTACTGTTTCCCAGTCAGGGGGACTTTCCCAGCCCTGGCATAGCACAATAGTCAGCCTGTGAAAATTAAAAAAATAACAGCTCTATTTTCTTACTTTAGCCCTATTCCCAGAAATCGCTATGCTAGCTTACAGTGAAAGAAGAATAACAAGCTATTTTAAAGTAGGATGATGAATTCTGAGGCATGAACAGTTAAAAAAAAAAAATCTTAAACCCAGCAAAGAGCCAGAATTCAGTTATGGAATAGCTATTTTCCCTCCCTCTTTGAAGAAGTAGCAGTGATCACGACCATGATCAAAATAAGCTCTGCTCTTAGGAAATTTGCAAGTTCATGAGGGACACAGGTAGGTAAATAACTAGTAATAATTAAACAAAAAAGAAATGCTATGTACTACTTTACCTAAAGCGTTCTAAAATAATTTTTAGTATTGTGTAATCCAGAAAAGTAGACAATCTATGAGGAATTCTGATTTGTAAAGACAGATCAATTGGTCAGCTGCAGAGAAATTGGAGTCTACTCACCTGTTCAGGCTTTAGCCCTGTGAAACAAAACATGCCAATCTGGTCAGTTATGTGTTGCCAGTTGTGGGAGGAACCCTCCTTCTTGAGGTTGGAGACCAGTTGAGTCCGCATGCTAATGATGCGATCGGCCATGCCTTTTACTTCTTGTAACCTGTAAGGAAACCCTAAGATGCAGCTCATTCTGGCCAAGCACTGACAGTAAGCTAGAGTTCACTGCATTTTTACCTTCCTTGAATACTCCCCTAGCGTGCCTCAATTTTCAGTCTTTGACTGAGTCACATGCTGTCGTTGATCAGGGAAGAAAGCTACTTTGTAACATTCTGTTTTGTATCAGAACAGTATTTTGATCAGGCATCTTTTAAAATAGTTAACATGCTATACAATGGTGTAAGAGTGATATGCATTCAGTAGAAACTGTACTTTTCTTTTTCTTTTATTTTTTGAGTTGGAGTCTCACTCTGTCGCTCACACTGGAGTGCAGTGGCCGCTCCCGGCCACTGCAGCCTCGACCTGCTGGGCTCCAGCGATCCTTCCGCCTCAGCCTTCCAAGTAGCCGGAATTACAAGCATGCGCTACCACGCTTGGCTAATTTTTTGATTTATTGTAGAGATGAGGTCTCGCTGTCCAGGCGGGTCTCAAACCCGCGGGCTCAGGCAATCTACTCACCTCAGCCTCCCAAAGGCGCAGGATTACAGGCTGAGCCACCGAGCCCGGCTGAAACTGTACTTTTAAGTACAGCTTAAGTACTAAAATTTATGAAGACTAAGGCAAAAGCTGTGTGTTAAACAATAAAATATGACCTTGTTTTTAACATGGATAGAATGAAATTCCCATGTTCACAATTAAGACAATGCACTGTGCACTGTGGGTTTTTTTTTTTTGGTTTTCTTTTGAGTTGGAGTCTCACTCTTGTTGCCCAGGATGGAGTGCAGTGGCATGCTCATGGCCACTGCAGCCTCGACGTGCTGGGCTCAGGCAACCCTTCAGCCTCCACATTCCAAGTAGCAGGAATGACAGATGTACACCATCATGCCTGGCTAGTTTTTGTGATTTATTGCAGAGACAAGGTCTCACCAAGTTGCCCAGGCTGGTCTTGAACCCCCAGGCTCAGGCAATCCTCTAGCCTCAGCCTCCCAAAGTGCTGGGATTATAGGCTGAGCCACCACACCCAGTCAACAATGCACCATTAACCTACAATAAGCCAGGCCACATGCTAGGTTCTGAGGACTGAGACATGGTCCTGTCCTTGCCTTCAAAAGCTTATAGTGGAGACTAGAAACCAAACCTGTAAACAACCAACTAAGGAACAGGGCAGTATGATGGAAAGCTAATAGAACACTGCTGTGCTGAGAGAGTGAGTTAACGCTATCCGAGGGACTGGAAAAGTCCTCTGACCGTGTGTGGGGCTCACCTGATTCTGAAGACAATCTTTCCCTTTCTCAGAATTTACCCTTGCCATTCCATTCCATGGCTCTGGTTAATTCTTGTTAGCTCTCACCAAGTGGATGACTATAAAATACATATACAGTTTATCTCCTTGTTCTTTTTTTTTTTTTTTTGAGTTGGAGTCTCACTCCATCGCCCAGGCTAGTGTGCAATGGCACACTCACCGCCATTGCAGCCTTGACCTGCTGAGCTCAAGTGATCCTTCCACTTCAACCTTCCAAGTAGCTAGAACTACAGGCCCAGCTGTTTTTGATTTATTGTAGAGTTGCCCAGGCTTGTCTTAAATCCCTAGGCTCAAGCAATCCTCTAGCCTCTGCCTCCCAAAGCGTTGGGATTACAGGTGAGCCACACACCTGACCTCTTTTGTGTATTCATCTTCCTCAAACTCTTGAACTCAAGCCTCAGTCTTCCAAAGTGTTTGGATTACAGGCGTGAGTCACCATGCCTGGCCTCAGGGATCTCATTGTGGTGCCCAGGATGATGTATCCACTTTTCTAATCCATCTCTCTATAACAATGCCATTCAAGGCTGGAAAAGAGGTCACAAACTGCCAATTAAAGTTCAAACATTCTAGCTTAGCATGCAAGATCTTGTCTCTACACAAAAATGAAAAAAAAATTAGCTGGGTGTGGTGGCCTGTGCCTGTAATCCCAGCTACTTGGGAGGCTGAGGCAGAAGGATCACCTCAGACCAGCAGGCTGAGGCTGTGGTGAGCCATGATATTGCCTGGGTGATAGTGAGACTCGGAATTAAAAAAAAAAAAAAAAGTCTCTGCCAGCGGGATTCCCCGTCCCCATGGTGGGGCACCCCTCGCCCACTGCACGTTGGGACATGGGCACAGACTGAAAGGCAGTCGCCCCCTCGCCCATCATGCACTGCACGTGGGGAACCTAGTGCTAAACCATTTGTATATGACCTACTTCTGGGTTGGGGCTTTGTATGTAGCAGAGCAGCAACCTTGCTGCAATCTATTCAAAGTCAGTCCTCGACACAAGGGTTTGTTAAAAAAAAAAAAAAGTCAAATATGGATCCAACTCAGCAAAACATTTTAAAATTGGGCACTTGGGCTGGTTGCGGTGGTTCATACCTATAATCTCAGCACTTACGGAAGGTGAAGCCAGAGGATCACCTGAGCCTAGGAGTTTGAGATCAGCCTAGGCAACATAGCAAGACCCCATCTCCACACACACACAAAAATTGATAAGATAATTAAAATAGGGCACTTATACAAAAGTTTAAATCTGTAGTTTCTCTAGAAAAATGAGAAGCTGACAGCCAGTACTAGCAGTGCAATTACTGGCTGGAGCTGAGGACCTCCTGGCCGTTCCAGGTGTGGCATTTGATTTTAAATTTCCTGCAGTCCCCACCCACCTGGCTCCATTCATTTGAGGCCTGGGTCCTTAAGGGACTGAGTGTATAACCACAGTTATACCTGGTGCCACCTTAGCAAAACCACTCCATCTTCCTTACTAATAGATTCCTAATAGAATCCTGACTGCTCAAAATATCAAAGAGCTTCATGAGCTACTCCACCTTCTCAGCTTGGCTGCCTTCTGTATTTCTCTTCACATTCAGTATCTTTGCTCCAGAAACCACTTGGGGCTTTGTCACACACTCAGCATGATTCATGTCCCATGCCTGTGCCTGCTCAGGCAGATCCCTCTGCCCAGTTTCCCTGTCTCCTTCATGTCCTTCACAAAAAACCCCTTTTCTCTCTTTAAGGCACAGCTCAGATACTGCAGTCCTCATCACATCTTCTCCAACTACCACTACAATCAACAACGCTTCTTTTAGTCGGAATTTATTCCATTCTCTTACCAAATACCCTTTGTGTATGTTTCTCACTGGATTATAAACTCCCTGAGGGTACAGACCATGTCTCAGTCATTAGCACAGTACCACTGGCATCCTTGCCCACTATAAACTCTCAAATGTGTCCTGAAATGCATGTTAAAAAAAATTTTTTTTGAGTCACAATCTCACTCTGTCATCTAGACTGAAATGCAGTGGCACAATCATAGCTCACCACAGCCATTACCTACTGGGCTCAGGCACACGCCATCATACCTGGCTAGTTTTTTCTAGAGACGAGGTCTCACTATGCTGCCTAGGCTGAGGAAATATTTTTTAGAAGCTTAAAAATATTAAGGCTGGGGCGTCGTGGCTTACGTCTATAATCCCAGCACTTTGGGAGGCTGAGGTGAGAGGATTGCGTGAGTTCACAGGTTCGAGACCAGCCCGGGCTACTTGGTGAGACCTCATCTCTACAATAAATCCAAAAATTAGCCAGGTCTATATTTCCAGTTACTTGCAAAGCTAAAGTCGAAGGGTTGGTAGGTCAAGGCTGTGGTGAACGTGAGTATGCCACTGCACTTCAGCCTGGTTGACACAGTGAGACTCCAACTAAAAAATAAATAAATAAAAAGATTAGTGTATTTCTAAGCAACAAAAGCAAAACCAATTCACATATACATGTTTCATAGTATGTTACAATTATGGAAAGAAAATGGGCAAGAAAAAAAAGCTGAGTTACAGTGGCTAGAGCTATGGCTAATTTTTTCCCCTTCTCAAACTTTTGGAAATGCACTATTTACATGTTGATACTACACCAGAAACATTTTTAATTTAAAAAGTAGTCAATTTTTTTGTAAAGTAAATTGTATTTACTTCAGTGTTCAGGGTATTAATTTAAGATAGAAAAAATAGTTGTCATGTGAGCAGGTGAGCTACACATAACAGTTTCTTGGAGACAGCAGATTCAGTTTTCCTACCTAACAAGCTGTTCAGAGATGTGCCCTCTCAACTAAGCGGCTACAAAGGATAAATTCATGTAACAAATCACACTTTCCACGTGCATCGTGATTTTTATGAGCTATGAATTACGTGGAGCAGGGGCTGGCAAACTTTATGTAAATGGCCAAATAGCAACTATTTTAGGCTTTATGGGTCATATAGTCTCTGCCTGTTGCAACTACTAAATTCTGCCATTATAGCAGGAAAGTAGCCATATACAACTCATAAACAGATGAGTACTGCTGTGTTTCAATACGACTTTTATTTACAAGAACAGGAGGTAGATTGGATTGACCTTCAGAACATAGTTTGCCAACCTCTCATCTAGAGCAATGTTTTCTAAATTGTGTGTCATGACTATCAGTATGTTAAATTCAATTTGGTAAGAAGCAAGTGGCATTTAGAAAATACTGAAGTATAGCACATGAATGCTTAAGTACTGAGTTTTAAGAATGGCTTCAGTTATATAAATATACACAAATAAGTATGCAATGTGTGTTCAGGGTCATGAAATAAAATACATTTTTTATGTGGATGGTGGTAAAAAGACTGAGTAACACTAATTTAGAGGATAGGTGTTAAGAATCAGATGGTTAAAAAAAAGAGTCAGATGTTATAGATAATAAAAAACAAAAATATGCAGAATACGGATTCAATGCTAGCTATTATTAGGACAAAAATGAAGGCAGGTGTTACTTAACATGGGGATAATGGAATAAAAGGAACTACCATTTATGAATCATATCTATCTACACAGGGAAATACCAACTAATTTGTTTCAAGGTGCTGACAAAATGCACACTCCTCTCTCTGTTGCCCCACTTCCATGTGTGGAATCTATGAGGGTCTGTAAGTCATTAGAGGTCAATTATAAACTAGCTTGGGGGAAAAACAGAAGGGTGGCTGAGAAATAGTATGAGCCTTTACCATTGTTTTCGCAAGTCTGGGGTGTTCAGAATGGCAGAGGCAATTCGAGCGCCACTGAGAGGGGGGTTGGAATACATTGGACGGATCAAGATCTTCAGCTGTGACTCCACCCTTTTGGCTTCATCTGCATCTTTGCAGATGACAGTGAAGGCTCCCACACGCTCACCTAGAAAGATAAAATGGTATCATCTTCTAGTCCTGCTATCTCACATGCTAATGCAAATCATAATAAAATTTACTACCTATGACATGTTTCCATCAGAACGACCACAAAAATAACTCTTTACTATAAATAAAAGTTTTCAACAACCAGACTAGTAAATCATGGCTTAACAGAAAGTTTAAGTATTTGTATATTCAGACTGGGTGTGGTGGTTCACACCTGTAATCCCAGCTCTGAGAGGCTGAGGCAGAAGGAATGTTTGAGCCCAGGAGTTCAAGACTAGCCTAGGCAATGCAGCGAGACCTTGTCTCTACAAAAAATAAAAGCGCCTGGACATGGTGGCTCAGGCCTGTAATCCCAGCACTTTGAGAGGTTGAGATGAAAGGATTGTCTGAGCCCAGGGATTTGAGACCACCGTGGGCAACTTGGTGAGATCTCATCTCTACAATAAAAAAAATTAGCTGGGCATGGTGGTATAGTTCCAGCTACTTGGAAGCCTGAGACCAGTAGTTCAAGGCTGCAGTAGCTGTGAGCGTGCCACTGTGTTTCAGTCTGGTCTACAGAGTGAGACTTGGACTCAAAAAAAGTAAAAAAAAAAAAAAAAGCCAGGTATGGTGACATGTGCCTGTGCCTGTAGTCCCAGCTTCTCGGGAGACTGAGGCAGAAGAATCTCAAAAACCCAGGAGGTCAAGGCTGCAATGAGCTATGATCGTGCCTCTGCATTCCAGCCTGGGTGACAGAGTGAGACCCGCAGCTCAAAAAAAAAAAAAGAGTATTCAAAGGTTTCTTGACCTGGGTTCAGAAGATTCTTCTGCCTCAGCCTCCTGAGTAGCTGGGACTACAGGTGTATGCCACCACACCTGGCTAATTTTTTGTTTTCTTATAGAGATGAGATCTTGCTGTGTTGCCTAGGTTGAACTCCGGGCTCAAGCAATCTGCCCAACTCAGTCTCCCAAAGTGTGGGATTACAGATGTGAGCCACCATGCCCAGTCAGCGGGCTCTTTTTATTATCTTCTTGGCTCATGGATCAGCTACTTTTTATTTAGAGAAGCAGTGATCAGTTTTCTTGGCTAATTTTTTTTTAAATTTTAAAGATGTGGGGTACAATTCAGGGTTAGGTATGCAAATGTTCATTATGCAGGCAACCTTGTTGATGAGGTGTGCCCCACTCTCCCCTGGTAGTTTTCCTCAACTGCCAATCCCACCCTCCCTCCCCTGCCAGTTTCCCATTACTGCCAATCCCTTTCTTATAGTATTATGATAATTGTTCAAGGTTCGCTTATGAGTAAGAACATAGGGTACTTTGTTCTTTGTTTCTGTGATAAATCACTGAGTATGAGACTCTAAATCCATGCAAGTTGCTGTGAAGTCCATGTTTGTCCTTCTTTATGGCTGCATGATATTCCGTTGTGTATACGCACCACATTTTTTTATCCAGTCCGGCTAATGTTGTTTTTTTTTTTGAGTTGGAGTCTCACTCTGTCACCCAGACTGGAGTGCAGTGGCCACTCCCGGCCACTGCAGCCTTGACCTGCTGGACTCCAGCGATCCTTCCGCCTCAGCCTTCCAAGTGGCTGGAACTAGGTGCGCGCTACCACGCCCGGCTAATTTTTTTATTTATTGTAGAGAAGAGGTCTCGCCAAGTTGCCCAGGCGGGTCTCAAACCCGCGGGCTCAGGCAATCCACTCACCTCAGCCTCCCAAGGTGTGGGATTACAGGCTGAGCCACCGAGCCCGGCTAATTTTTTTTTTTTACGTTAGGGTCTTACTCTGTCCCCCAGGAAGGAGTATAGGGGCCCTAACACGGCTCACTGCAGCATGGGCCTCCTAGGCTCAGGTGATCCTTCCACCTCAGCCTCCAAAGTAGCTGGTACTACAGGTGCACATCACCACATCTGGCTACTTTATTTATTTATCCATTTATTTTTTTGTAGAGATGAGGTCCTGCTATGTTGCCAGGCTGGTGTCAAATTCCTGGGCTCAAGTAATCCTCCCACCTCAGCCTCCCAAAGTGCTGGGATTATAGGAGTGAGCTATCACTCCTGGCCTGCTGAAGGAATTTAGGACACTAAAGAAGATATGGGGGAAATAAAAAAGGTTGTTCTGCTGAGTAAGGAAAGTGGGACATGGATGCAAACAACATCTTCCATACCCTTGTGGCATTCTCTCCCACTTCTTCACACACATGAGAACACATATCATGCTACGTCCTTCAGCTTACCATACAAGCCCATGTTCTTGGCATATGATTGGCAGAGACAAACATCAATGCCCTGTTCGATGAAGTGGCGCACGGCCCAGGCATCCTTGTTACCATCACCACTGGCAAAGCCTTGGTAGGCCATATCAAAGAATGCAAAGAGATTCTTTTTCTAAGAAGGAAAGAGAAGACCAAGAAGACTGCTTTACGCCCTGGATGATTACTTGTGATTGTTAGGACCACATTCACCTTACATAGACTGAGTCAACAGTTTTCTCCCCAGATAGCAGTTTGAGAGATTTTCCTAGTTAATATATCGACACATATTTCTTCACTTTGGCAGATATGGTCCCTCAAGAAGACACTAGAAAAAGAGAATCTTAACCTCAATTGGTCTAGAATGTTGCTTAGTCAAACAGGAAGTTCTCTAAGGCCCACAGAGGTCTGGGTAATTATTTTTGGTCCAGTCAACACAGGACCAGCACCAGCCTTTTCTGGGGCTACTCATGTAACCCCAGCAGGCTCATCTTATACCCTGGGCTCATTAGATGACCTCAACAGAACCACCTCATCTTGAAAGTGCTCTCCAAATGCTGTTTCTCTATCTCATTCTGTTTGCAGCTAAGATTTGACAGAAGGTAAACAAGGGAAATCAAAAGGAGTGAAAACAGAGACATAAGACAACAAAAATAACATTTTCCTCCTGAGGAGTTTTGACTAATGTCTTCCCTGACAGTCAGTCACGTTCTGAGTGATAATGACCATGCTGGGGGGGGAGGGAGTGCATAAAAAGATGAACAAGTAACCACTTATCAGGGCAAACGTAGGCACCAACAGCAGACGTCATGAGGCCAGAGGATGCCCATTGTTCAGGAAAGCTAATGACAAGTTTTAGCAGAATTCCCTATATTCAGGCTGAGGAATAAAAGTCATTTTCTTTTTTTTTTTCTTTTTCTTAGTTGGAGTCTCACTCTGTCACCCAGGCTGGAAGGCAGTGGCATACCTCTCGGCCACCGCAGCTTCAACCTGCTGGGCTCCGGTGATTCTTTCACCTCAGTTTTCCAAGTAGCCAGAACTACAGGCGCGTGCTATCATGCCCAGCTAAGTTTTGATTTATTGTAGAGACGAGGTCTCGCCAAGTTGGTTGGGCTGGTCTTGAACCCGCAGGCTCAGACAATCCACTAGCCTCGGCCTCCCAAAGTGCTGGGATTACAGGCTGAGCCACTGAGCCTGGCCAAAACTCATTTTCAAATGCTCATATATCAATTATAGAACTGATAATTATGAAAATGAGGAGCTCCTTTCTGGCAGCTTATCCATATGTGGACATTTCATGCAGGCTCAAGGTTAAGACTCATTGTTAAGACTTTGTCAAATTAAGCATCCAAGGCTAGTTACTAAACACAGAACCATCACCAATCAATTCATCCTTCTCACCTTCACCACTGTTGCTATTTCCTTCCACTGCTCTGGACGAGGGTCCACTCCAGTGGGATTATGGGCACAGGCATGCAGGAGAAGAACGCTCTTTTCTGGTATTTTCTAAAGAGAGAAACAACCAAGAGATGACTTGGCTTCACAGCTTTAAAGGAGATAATTTACCTGAAATGCTGCAGGATCACTGTCTCCTGATAAGTAACAAAGATAACCCAAGGTGTGGGAACTAACTCATCCCCAGTATTTTAACTCAGGTATTGGTACCCAGAGGGAGACACCAATATCTGCAAGGAGGTTTATTCCTTGTTACTTCACTCCTACCACCATTTCACTTACTGAAATGTCCTCCATGGCGCCCGTGAAGTCAAAACCGCAAGTCTTGGGGTCATAGTATCGATAACCTTGCAGCTGCATGCCAGCATCCCTGAAGATGGGTGTGTGATTTCCCCAGGTTGGTTTGGGTAGAAAGACATCTTGGCTGGACTTAAAAAATCTTTGCTAAAAGATGGGATGTGTAAAGGAATGGAAAAATGGAGAAAGAAAAAAAAAAAAGTTGGTATAGTTTACTGAGAGAACATTTTCTCTACTGAAACTCAGCTTTTCTCTAAAGTTGAGAGGCAGCATTAACTCAGCAGCAAGATAACCTCAGCTGGAATCCAGGCTCTGCCAATTATACTGACCATGTGGCCAAGGACCTATTTGGGCCTCACTTTCTTCATTTGTAAGATGGGGTTAACTGTATCTCCTCACAAAGATTAAACACATTAACGCTTTGGACTTGAAGACATCTCATGGATCACCTACCAGCAACTCGATTGCACTCTTTTATAAAATAGTGAAAAACGAATCACTTCATATTAAATAGTACAGTGTCGGAACCAATTATTTTAATATTTGATTTAAATGGAATTCTGGACATTGAAGAACTTATAACCAAAAAAAATCAAAATTTTATATCTTATATTTTTATTTTTTGGAGTCAGAGTCTCACTCTGTCGCCCAGGTTGGAGTGCAGTGGTGCAGCCTCAACCTGCTGGACTCAAGTGATCCTTCTACTTCAGCCTTCCAAGTAGCTGGAACTACAGGCATGTACCACCACGCCCAGCTAACTTTTCTTGATTTGCTGTAGAGACGAGGCCTCGCCAAGTCGCCCAGGCTGGTCTTAAATCCCTGGGGCTCAGGCATTCCTCTTGCCGTGGTCTCCCCAAGTGCTGGAATTACAGAAGTGAGCCACCATGTCTGGCCTATATCTTATAGTTTTCTAATGTGTGGTAATGTATGAAAGTCACTGACATGCACTGCAGGTTCACTGAGACACACTGTACAATAGTAATTTGTTTGACATCTTCCACTTGGTGTTTTTCTATTTGAGCAGATAATGCAGTCTTGTTGTCTTCCTCCCACATTAATAATGTATAGTTTACTGTCCAGTCTGTGTACCACTGTGAAAGCACTTCACACATTCTCTTTCTACGTAACGCCTACTAATATATTTTTTAATGTATATCTTAGTATATATTCATTCCATCTCTTTATTTGCATTTTTGGTGCAATTTGAATGGAAAGCTTCAAGGAAAACATACATTAAAAAAAAATTGTGCTGACATAAGTTTGTCCTGTATAATCACCAGCAATTTCTGTATGTCCCCCCTGAGAGGGGACATTGGAGTGCAAAAGCTTCCTCGTAACAGTAAGCGTTTAGTAAATGAAATTTATTATCATTATTATATCTTCCTTGTAATCTCTTCAAAGTACTTTCTTTTTTTTTGGTTTTTAATCAGTGGACAGGAAATCTACCAACTTAATGGAAAGAGGAAATCTACTTGTGAGTCGACAAATATACACATAACAGGAAACCCTGTCATCCTCAACTCTTTTCTGAAGGAGTTTCCAGACTCACCAGAAAACTGGCTCCGATCCTTAACGCTCCAGTTCCAGAAATGGTCTGCACAGTGGTAAACTGAAGGAGAGACACCCACAGTCAGTGAAGCGTAGCACTCTTTAGTATCATTCTGTGTTATAGGGGAAACTTTCAGGACACAAAAATTCTTCCCCAATATGTAAAAGGAGTTTTATATTAAAGATATAAAAACACACTAAGAATAGCTACTACACTGAAACATTACTCTAGAATTATACAAAATGGAATGTTTCACTGAACATAAAAGTTCCCTAAAAAGTAAGCCAAGTATATGAGGATAACATTGCTACATTAAAAATATTTTCTTAAATTTTACAAAACAAATCTTACTGTAGGTCAGACACTGTGATCCACAAAGGCACAATAATTCATAGAAGATGTTATTTTAAGATAGGTCAGTCTCATACTTAGGTTATAACTGTCTAGGTGGACAGAGACTAAGTAAAATCACAGCATGAATTAGAAATGCAGAAGTTTTCATGAAAAGTTACTAGGTGGTTGATTATATGGACCGAGTTAAACCATATTTTGTCTGTGACTTAGGATAATCCTATCACCCTAGGGTCAAGGTTGTATGCTTTTCTCTGAGTTAACCAACTAATGTGTGGACTTAGACTAGTCTTGTGAATGAATGAAGTGCTTTTATTCTGGCTTTTCAGAGGAGTAGGGGGAGAAAACATGTTAGCTTAATTTTGCCAATTCTTGTGTTTCTTCCTCTCAGACTTTCTTTTTTTTTCCAAAAGAAAATAAACCACAATGGATGTGAGCTCACACGTTGGGAACATGGTCTTCTCTCTTTCAATGTCCAAACTGGTTGTGGAGGAGTAGCAGTAGGGTGCCAGACTGGCCCAGCCCAAGTCCACTCACGGCTTACTTCCTGATTGCTTATTCTGCTTAAGTTGGAAATTCAGGACATGAGGGCTGGGGCTAATTACAGGCCTAAAACTAGACGTAACTAGCATTTCTAGAGCATAGTCAATGTAAAATGAACATAAGCACAAGGAGAATAACAGCAAAAGCAGTGCCAAATCTATCAGTCAAATTAACTAGTACATTTTCAGAATTACTAGGAATATACTTTTTGGAATGGGTGTCATGAAATAATCCTGGCAATTTCTGTCTAATGAAGAATTATTAGCAATAGAGTGGCTACCTCAAAACCATCGTCTCACACAAAGTGAGTTATCTTTTCATATTTCTTTAAAATTATTTAAATTATTACATATTTGTTTAAATTGTTAAATTTAAAAATAGTCCCAGTATGATACCAGACTCTGCTTAGCTTACCCGGCCACTTTTCAAAACTTCACTGTTCTCACCCAGAGCTAGTTCTGCAGATGCCTTGCAAAATTCAGCCAGTCCACCAATGGGCAGGTATTCCTTATCCATATTTTTTGCAGCAATCTGGGCCTCTGCCTAGACAAGAGAAAATGCATTCATTTAACTTATTTTATAACCTGGAATTACTATGATTAATAGTTAAAGTTTCAGGCCAGGCATGGGGGCTCACGCCTGTAATCCCAACACTTTGGGAGGCCAAGGCAGAAGGACTGCTTGAAGTCAGAGTTTGAGACTAGCCTGGGCAGCATAGCAAGATCCCATTTCTTAAAAAGAGAAAGGAAAAAGCCAGGCGTGGTGGCCCATGGCTGTAGTCCTAGTTACTTAGGAGACTGAGACAGGAGGATCACCTGAGCCCAGGAGTTTGAGGCTGCAGTGAGCTATGATGGTGCCACTGTACTCCAGCCTAGAAAACAGTGAGAAACAGAGTAAGACCCTGTCTCTACATCCCTAAAAAGTTTCATAAGTTTTGTAGGCAAAGCTTTGTTTTTTATTTTATGTTACTGTTCAAGAAGAAGGATAAGTAGAATACTTGATATATTTTATATTGCAGAACAGAAATACTTTTTTTATTGATTGTTTGAGTTAGGGTTTATGTAGATGGATATATAGCGTCTCTTGGTTACCATTTGACATAAAATAGCATTGCTGGAATGCACAAGAACAAGGTTTAAGCAATACCTAAAATAGACATAAGATGATAAAATCAAACTAAATACATAAAAGAGAAGCATTTCAAGGTATATGCCAGTCTAAGAACTTAAAAGGGCACTGGACTCCTGTCTAGCACTCCTCCTGCCCTCTCCAGGGCTCCCTTCAGTTTATTCACCTCGACTCAGCAGGAGATGGATGGCAAGCTTACCTTGCGGACACTAGGGAGCACATAAGGCTTTCCATTATCGTCCCGGTAGGCACCAACTCCCAGATTCATCTTTTTGCTATTGGTATCTCTTTTAAAGGCTTCGGTGACTCCCAGAATGGGATCTGGAGGTCCCATCTCCACATGGACCCACCAGGAGCTGAAATGAGAAATACAGCAGCTCAGTCACATTAGTTACATCCCCATGGCCAGAGATGTCTTTGATCAGCCAAAGATCAATTTCAACAAGTGTCTGCATATCATATTCAGGGTATAGCAATAGGCATCAATAAGACAACACTGCAAAATACTTCAAAGCATCTTACAAAAGAGTGGAGACCAGTAATTTCAATATGAATGCAATAAGAAACAGAAAGGGGGTACTAAATCATCCTGGGTAGGACACAGGGCATTTGTAGGCTTTTAAAGCACTCTAACTCTGACCTGAATTCCCAGGCAAAAAATCTTTCAAGTAATCTTGTAGTGAGAAGCTGAGAGTGGTAAAAGATGAGCTTAGAGCAGTAAGCAAGAGCCACACAAGAGTATTATTTAACCCCCTATGAAGCTTGGGTTTTATCTTGCTCTTAAATGTGTAAAAAGCATAATTTAGAAAGTTTATTAAAAATATATGTTCCTGAACCCCACCTTGGATACAGTGAAACATGGAGAATCATTAAAGTTGTTTTTTCTGAGGGGGAAGAGATGGTGATCAGATAAGGGGGAGTGACATGAATGGACTTACATTCATTAGAGCCCACCTGGCCCAGGGTGGGAAGTACACAAAGTGATAAGGATGGATGCAGAAGGATCACTGAAGATGCTGTTTTGTTACCCCAAAAGACAGATAAAGAGATGAGGACATGAACCAGGATGGGACAGTAGGGGTGGAAAGGAGGAGAGACAGTTGCTACGAATTTAGGAATTAAACATCAGTAGGAAGAACTAGCTAAAATATCCTACTGGTTCCTTTATTACCTATTGAGTTAAAATGTTTGACAATGGCCATTATTTTATATTTGTATGAGTCATAATTTATTTCAAAAAAGAAAAAGCCTGCTTTTAACAGTTTGGAGGTGATCTACCAATGCCCAAGGAGATCACCTGACTGGGTCAGGAAACTGCACTGCAGGGGAAGTTATTCCTCTTCTTTCCTTGGCTCCCAAAGTGGATCCCAGGAGGCAACAGAAGTTTAAATGACTGTTTTATCTGGCTTGTTCCCCATCCTTTATTAATCTGGGATTTTGCTTTTGGTTCACTTATGGTCAATAAACAGCTAGTCCCCATTGGTGGCATAAATGACTATGAAGTTGGTTTTATGCCCTAACCATTAGTTATCTCTGTGGAAGGAGATCTCTTCTCTCTTGGGCCATTGCATTTGACCTTAATTTGAGATTTTATTTTATTTTGAGTTGGAGTCTCACTCTGTCGCCCAGACTAGAGTGCAGTGGCCG